TCCCTCTGCAAACTTTCAGAGTCCACCGCACACTTTGCCCCATCACTCATCTTAGTGTCATCCGCAAACTTTGACACACTACATGTGATCCCCAAATCCAAATCGTCTGTGCAAACCACCAATTATAATCTCTTTGCTTCTCTAGTTTTAAAGCAGCTTTTTAATCCAAAATTTTGGAAAGCTTTCCTAGTTCCTCTTCCTTTGGTTTGGCACATTTTACTCACCAAGCCTAAATCATCTTGGGATGTTTTGCCAAATATGTAAAGCGAATTCTGCAAACTGACAACAGCTTCCAAATTTCCACAAGTGGCAAACCAGTTAACATAAAACTTAGCAATATCAGGATGGGTGTGTTAATTTGTACATGCACTCATGCTAGAAGTTGCACTCAGTTTCTGGAGGATAAAACATAGAACGTTACAGCGCAGTACAGGCCCTTCGGCCCTCGATGTTGCGCCGACCTGTGAAACCAATCTGAAGCCCATCTAACCTACATGACTCCATTATCGTCCATATGTTTATCCAATGACCATTTAAATGCCTTTAAAGTTGGCGAGTCTACTACTTTTGCAGGCAGGGCATTCCACACCCTGACTACTCTCCGAGTAAAGAACCTACCCCTGACATCTGTCCTATATCTATCGCCCCTCAATTTAAAGCTATGTCCCCTCGTGCTAGCCATCACCATCCGAGGAAAAAGGCTCCCACTGTCCACCCTATCTAATCCTCTGATCATCTTGTATGTCTCTATTAAGTCACCTCTTAACCTTCTTCTCTCTAACGAAAACAGCCTCAAGTCCCTCAGCCTTTCCTCATAAGACCTTCCCTCCATACCAGGCAACATCCTGGTAAATCTCCTCTGCACCCTTTCCAATGCTTCCATATCCTTCCTTTAATGCGGCGACCAGAACTGTATGCAATACTCCAAGTGCGGCCGCACCAGAGTTTTGTACAGCTGCAACATGACCTCATGGCTCCGAAACTCAATCCCTCTACCAATAAAACCTAATATACCGTACACCTTCTTAACAACGCTATCAACCTGGGTGGCAACTTTCAGTGATCTATGCACATGGACACAGAGATCTCTCTGCTCATCCACACTACCAAGAATCTTACCATTAGCCCAGTACTCTGTATTCCTGTTACTCCTTCCAAAGTGAATCACCTCATACTTTTCCTCATTAAACTCCATTTGCCATCTCTCAGCCCAGCTCTGCAGCTTATCTATGTCCCTCTGTAACCTGCAACATCCTTCCGCACTATCCACAACTCCACCGACTTTGGTGTCATCCGCAAATTTACTAATCCATCCTTCTACGCCCTCATCCAGGTCATTTGTAAAAATCACAAACAGCAGTGGCCCCAAAACAGATCCTTGAGGTACACCACTACTAACTGAACTCCAGGATGAACATTTCCCATCAACCACCACCCTCTGTCTTCTTACAGCTAGCCAATTTCTGATCCAAACCGCTAAATCACCCTCAATCCCATGCCTCCATATTTTCTGCAATAGCCTACCATGGGGAACCTTATCAAACGCTTTACTGAAATCCATATACACCACATCAACCGCTTTATCCTCATCCACCTGTTTGGACACCTTCTCAAAGAACTCAATAAGGGTTTGTGAGGCATGACCTACCCTTCACAAAACCGTGTTGACTATCCCTAATCAAATTATTCTTTTCTACATGATTATAAATCTTATCTCTCATAATCCTTTTCAACACTTGACCCACAACCGAAGTAAGGCTCACTGGTCTATAATTACCAGGGTTGTCTCTACTCCCCTTCTTGAACAAGGGGACAACATTTGCTATCCTCCAGTCTTCTGGCACTATTCCTGAAGACAATGACAACATAAAGATCAAAGCCAAAGGCTCTGCAATCTCCTCTCTAGCTTCCCAGAGAATCCTAGGATAAATCCCATCCGGCCCAGGGGACTTATCTATTTTCACACCTTCCAGAATTGTTAACACCTCCTCCTTATGAACCTCAATCCCATCTACTCTGATAGCCTGTATCTCAGTATTCTCCTCGATAACATTGTCTTTTCCTGTGTGAATACTGATGAAAAATATTCATTTAGCGCCTCTCCTAACTCTTCGGACTCCACGCACAACTTCCCAGTACTATCCTTGACTGGCCCCAATCTGACTCCAGTCATTCTTTTATTCCTGACATGCCTATAGAAAGCTTTAGGGTTTTCCTTGATCCTACCTGCTAAAGACGTCTCATGTCCCCTCCTGGCTCTTCTTAGCTCTCTCTTTAGGTCCTTCCTGGTTAACTTGTAACTCTCAAGCGCCCTAGCTGAGCCTTCACGCCTCATCTCTGCATAAGCCTCCTTCTTCCTCTTGACAAGAGATTCAACTTCTTTAGTAAACCACGGTTCCCTCGCTCGACCACTTCCTCCCTGCCTGACAAGTACATACTTATCAAGGACACGCAGTAGCTGTTCCTTGAACAAGCTCCACATTTCAATTGTGCCCAGCCCCTGCAGTTTCCTTCCCCATCCTATGCATCCTAAATCTTGCCTAATCGCCTCATAATTGCCTTTCCCCCAGCTATAACTCTTGCCCTGCGGTATATACCTGTCCCTTTCCATCGCTAAAGTAAACGTAACCGAATTGTGGTCACTATCACCAAAGTGCTCACCTACCTCCAAATCTAACACCTGGCCTGGTTCATTACCCAGTACCAAATCCAATGTGGCCTCGCCTCTTGTTGGCCTATCTACATACCGTGTCAGGAAACCCTCCTGCACACATTGGACAAAAACTGACCCATCTAAAGTACTCGAACTATAGCATTTCCAGTCAATATTTGGAAAGTTAAAGTCCCCCATAACGACTTTCAGTTGTTTCAGCGGCGGGAGTCCGGGAGGAAGCACGAGGGCAGCCTGGGAAGGTAAGCTTTTCGACTATAAAAGTCTTACCTTGCGTGACTCCATTTTTGGAGTGAGTGAGGTAATATATTTGGGCGGTTGCTTTACCCGAAACACTACCTAGGTAGTGTCTCCCACCCATCCTCCTCCTCTAACCAAAAAAAAAGGTTCTGAGCGCTGATTTGGTAAGGCTACTTGTTTTTTTTTAGTCTGTTTGGAAATTCAGAACAGTGGGAATGGATGTTAGGGCAGTTGCATGCTCCACCTGTAGAATGTGGGAGGTAAGGGTCACCACTAGTGTCCCCACTGACTTCATCTGCAGAAAGTGCACCCAACTCCAGCTCCTAGGAAACCGCGTTAGGGAACTGGAGCTGCATGAACTTCGGATCATTTGGGAGGCTGAGGGGGTAATTGAGACAAGTTACAGGGAGGTAGTCACACCTCAGGTACAGGAAAAAAGTAGATGGGTTACAGTCAGGGGACATAAGGAGAACAGGCAGACAGCGCAGGGATCCCCTGCGGCCGTTCCCCTCAATAACAAGTATACCGTTTTGGATACTGTTGGGGGGGAACGACTTGCCAGGGGTAAGCCATGGGGTACAGGTCTGTAGCACAGAGTCTGTCCCTGTTGCTCAGAAGGGAAGGGGGGGGGAAAGAGGAGGAGAGAGTCATTGGGGACGACACAGTTAGGGGGACAGATGGGAGATTCTGTGGGAACGAGAGAGACTCGCAGTTGGTGTGTTGCCTCCCAGGTGCCAGGGTCCGTGATGTCTCGGATCATGTTTTTGGGATCCTTAAGGGGGAGCGGGAGCAGCCCCAAGTCGTGATCCACATAGGCACCAACGACATAGGTAGGAAAAGGGATGGAGACGTAAGGCAGAAATTCAAGGAGCTAGGGTGGAAGATTAGAGCTAGAACAAACAGAGTTGTTATCTCTGGTTTGTTACCCGTGCCACGTGCTAGCAAGGCGAGGAATAGGGAGAGAGAGCAGTTGAACACATGGCTACAGGGATTGTGCAGGAGGAGGGATTCAGATACCTGGATAATTGGGGCTCATTCTCGGGTAGGTGGGACCTCTACAAACAGGATGGTCTACACCTGAATCAGAGGGGTACCAATATCCGGGGGGGGGGGGGGGGACAAAGAGTTTGCTAATGCTCTTCGGGAAGGTTTAAACTGATTCTGCAGGAGGATGGGAACCTGAATTGTAGCTCCAGTGTACAGGAGATTGAGAGTAGTGAGGTATTAATAAGGTTTCAAGGTCGCAGGAGTGTACCGGCAGGCAGGAAGGTGGTTTGAAGTGTGTCTACTTCAATGCCAGGAGCATCTGGAATCAGGTGGGTGAACTTGCAGCATGGGTTGGTACCTGGGACTTCGAGGTTGTGGCCATTTCGGAGACATGGATAGAGCAGGGACAGGAACGGTTGTTGCAGGTTCCGGGGTTTAATGTTTCAGTAAGATCAGGAAAGGTGGTAAAAGAGGGGGAGGTGTGGCATTGTTAGTCAAGGACAGTATTACGGTGGCAGAATTGACGTTTGATGAGGACTCGTCTACTGAGGTAGTATGGGCTGAGGTTAGAACCAGGAAAAGGAGAGGTCACCCTGTTGGGAGTTTTCTATAGGCCTTCGAAAAGTTCCAGAGATGTAGAGGAAAAGATTGCAAAGATGATTCTGGATAGGAGCGAAAGTAACAGGGATAATCGAAGCAAACAAATATTTTGCTGTCAAAACTCTTTCAAATTCTTGGCCACTATCTATGCTTTTTAAAATTAAAAGTAAAATAAATGTAATTAAATCTTACTTGATAGGAAGCTGGCCCTTCAATTAAGTACGAACATGTTTTTATGTGTGGTGTTTCTGCTGAGCAAGCTCGTTTAGAATTTCATTTCATGCACTGTACAACTGATACAGGGAAACAGCAGTGAAATAAAGCCGAAGACAATACCAGTTGTCCTCTTTCCCGACATAGCAATGTGTACATTTGAAGAAATGCATTCTTAGTTCACGATGATGAAAATATATTTTATTTCCAGCACAATCAATGGTAATTTGAAGATCATTTTGACAAATCCAAACTTGTGTGAATAAAAAAATACTGGAACAACTGAACATTTAAAGCTTGGCCCTTTAATCAGTAAAAGGATACGGAGATTTACAGCATAAATGAATGCTGCCTTTTTCATTTACACACACTTTTCATATACACATCTTGAATATAGTCAAAACGTACATTTCAAAAATGAAACTGAGAAATAAAAACATTGAAATTAGAATAGGATGCATGGTCTTAGAATGCTTTACAACTTAAAATGACATTCAACCATTTTTAGAATTCATTACATCCTACATTCTTTCTTTGCTCAATATACAATTTGGGGAGTAGAAATATGCATCCCTACTTCTGAAAAGTAAATTCATTTTGAAGAAAGCGGATGCGTACAATTGGCTTTATAGTACAATTAAATAGAACTGCATTATATTGAAATCAGGGAAATGAGACGTAATAAAAAATAAAAGTGTTTCTTATTTACTTAAACCAGTTGAATTCAAACCTGGACACCTGTATAGTAGCTCTGTTAAATAATTACTTTTGCCAATGAATTCAGTTTCCTGATCAAGAAAACGTTTCAAACTTATAGAAGTTTTCTTCCCTCTCCTGTAACGTACAGGGAAAAATACACTAAAAAATTGTTTCTGCATAACTGAATGAATTTCTGAGTTACAAGTAAAAGATCATGATTATATGTTTAAAGCAACATTATCAATGGCAGTACAATGCATACCCCTTGGAACTGTTAACACTACTATGTGGCCTCTTGCAAAGAAGTTTTACGCAGGGGAAAAGAAAATACTTTTTTTTAGTTTTAAAATGCACTTGGGTCAAAAGGTATGGTCATATGTAGCATTTCACTTACACATTGATTAGAATAAACAATCAATCAAGTTCAAGGACATTATCAAGAATTCTTAAAATGCATTCCCCAGATGAGATCAAGCATTGCTCTGTATATACTTCTGTCCGTGATAAATATTGCATCATTGAAAGACAGAATAGTCGCAGACCTTGTTGAATTATAATCTTCTACCTCTGGCCTAGGATAGTTCAAACAGCTTTTAATTATTGTTCAGCTCCAACAATGTCAACAATACCTCTCTAAAAAGGGTATAAATCCCAGATATAATACAATTTCCCACAGGTTAATGCAATTTACACATTCAAACATTTCTAAGTTTATTAGTACATTGAATCTTCTCTCCTCAGTGGAAATACACCGCATAGGTGTTGTTGTCTTTTAGAACATCGGTCAAGAGTTGCAACATAAGACAAAATGTTTTTAATATTAAAAAAAAAAATCTACTTTTGAGAACAAGTTTTATTGATTTACCCAATGATGAGCTGCATAAAAATCCCACTTTATTGCTAAATTTAGCAATGCATTACATTATCCAGTCATGCAAAGAAAATTCAGCTGACTTTTAAAATAAATTGAGTACAGTCAGCTTGTCCAATGCATCATGGCACTATGCTTCCCTTCGGATAACTACTGAATAGTCAGAGAAGATGAAGTTCATCAACAAGATGACTAATACTTTTTCTATATATTCCAGTCTCAGCATCCATTTCTTTCTCTTAGCTCTGTTCAGGCCAGGCCTGGATTAACAATCCAGATCATGCAAACAAAGTGCCCATGATAGCAGTTACAGAATTTGACTTCAGTTAGTAAAAACATATGGAAACAAGAAGCTGGTATCTATAAGCGACCACGGTTTTGGTTTGTGATGAAGATCTAACTGATTCCTTAGCAACCTTTAAGGCAAACAATTTACTACTTTCACGCAGACTGGCTTACGTGCAAGTACAAGTCCATACCAACATGACTGATTTAAACATGCTCTGAAATGACCTAACACACTGCTCGGCTGTCTCAAACTGATATAGCAGTCCAAGAAAGGTGTGCCAGTGACTTTAAAGCAATTAGGAATAGGTAATCCATGCCAGACTCCCGGGCTGTCCATGTTCAGAGGATGAATAAAAACATTTTTAAAAACAGTTCAAAATGTCATGCACATACAGTTGGTTTCCACACAACTGTGAATCAATTTCCAAACAAGGTACACTTGGGCGAAGACGCAGCAATGTAGTCCACATCTGTTTCATAAGTAAATCATTCCTGAATTCAGACAGTGAAGAAACATGCTTCTGACAAACTTACTTTTAACCTCACCATGTGGTGAGACTGCATACTTGAAACCGTTGAGAACATATAATTAATGAATCCATTTAAGAAAGGACAATATACAAGGGTAGCATAATGCCCTAGTGCAGCAGAGTCTTGCAACATATTGCAACAAGTTTATTTCATTCTGAACCATTTGCCAACGCAGGGGCTGCAAGGATCCAGGTTGAAGCATTGGACTAGTATGAAACAAATCTTTCTTCGTTGTATTAGATTTGAAACAAACAGCTGGAAATGAACACGATACAATATGGTAAAAGCATTATATGCAAGTAAATAGTAACATTATTAAAGCACTTAAATTTCAAAAGACAATAGATATAAACAAATTACAATGTAAACTATTATAGCTAGTGGTTAATCATACTGAAGATATAACCAGGATAACAGATCCTGCTTTGCCTAAAGGTGGATAGAATTTACATTGGAGAAGCAGCACATTCTGTGCCAAACTCCATGTCCAGAGTAATGGAATCTGTAAAAGCAATGGAAAAAAAAATCAAATAGTAAAATTAAAATTGTTTGAAAATTCCACTTAAAAGTAGTAACTGGATCAGAGTCCCACTAATCCTCCAAGTAAAAAAGTACAGGTTTGGACAGAATCCTGCTCGTCACTTACCAAGGCCACCTGCTGCTCCTTGTTCAGGTCCTTCATTATTACTTCCACAATGCATTAAAGAGTCCAGTGTACGTGGAGACATTGGGAACAGGTCACTTGTGTTGCCAGAATTTGTTCTGTGCAAATTAGACACATAAAACAAAGGTTTTCAAGTTGAGATGCCAGTATCATTAAATTAATAGCAATTGACGAGATTACTAATAACACCTTAATCAACATACATAAAATTCTCTTGTTATAAAGTTACTCAGTGACAGTGGTTAGATTATAATATAAAACGTGCCACTGAAGCACATTAAGTGGCCCAAAAAACACCCAACGCGTCTGTTCTTACTTACGGTGTCACACAAATGAATTTTCTCTTCAGGTATGCAAATGTTTCTGCAATATTAAAATAGAAAGAGTCAAAATGAGCTTACAGTATTAGAAAAGGGCAAAACAAGTAATTTGAAATTAAAGGTTATAAATATAAAAACCAACAGCTACCATTTCCTATCCTTATAAAAACTAAGTATTATTTTCCTGACTGAAAAGTCGAGTGCCCAAGGGTTAAACAATGAATAGCTGTTCTAAGTGCAGCAACTGAAGTTGGGTGGAGCAGTTTAAAAAAGGTAGTTCACTGCACCGTCATTACTGTCTGGCAAAATTGAGAGACAGAGGAGATGATGGAAATATAATCGTTAAATGGTTACATTGTGCGTGCAGAAAATTTTAAAGAGATTGTAGATCAGATAATGTTACAATTCGTTGTGAACGCAGCAATACAGTGAAGTACAGATATTGGGCCCTTCAGGGTGGCACGGTGGCTCAGTGGTTAGCACTGCTGCCTCTGAGAACCAGGGACCCAGGTTCAATTTCAACATCAGGCAGTTGTCTGTGTAGAGTTTGCACATTAGCCCCACATCTGTGTGGGTTTCCGCCAGGTGCTCCGGTTTCCCCTCAGTCCAAACATGTGCAGGTTAGGTGGATTGGCCATGCTGAGATTGTCCCATACTGTCCAGTGGATGTGTCGGCTACGTGGGTTAGCCATAGAAAATGCAGGATTACGGGGATGGGGTGTGTCTGGCAGGATGCTTTTTGGAGGATCGGTGTGGACTTGATGGGCCAAATGGTCTGCTTCCACACTTATGCATTCTATGATGTTATAAATTTCAGGAATAGTTTTGTTGAGAAAATAAACAAGCAGTCATGGTCAATAATGGTATAGGACAGTGCAGTTCTGGTTCTGGGGTGAACTTTACTGACAGGATGGCCTATAAATGCAGTAAAATTTTAAGAAAGGGTTCAGAAGTATGGCTAATGAGGATAAGCTCCATCAACTGCAAAAGGACATCAGCTCAGTTTTGGAGACAGCAAGAATTGCAGATGCTGGAGTCAGAGACAACACAGCGTGGAGCTGGAGGAACAGCAGGTCAGGAAGCATCACAAGAGCAGGAAAGTCAATGTTTCGGGTCAGCACCCTTCTTCAGGACTAGCCAGTTCCAAAGAAGGGTCCTGACCCGAAATGTCGAGTTTCCTGCTCCTCTGATGCTGCCTAACCTGCTGTGCTCCTCCAATTCCACACTGTCATCAGCTCAGTATTGCATGGTTAACGGAGAATTTTCTATGACTGGTCAACTCTAGCTTTTTAGGACTGGTTGCATTGAAACAACTGCAGCTGCTCTATTGCATGTGTAATTGCGGTTGTCATCATGATCATTACCATGAGTGCATGTTCAGCCTACAGGCAGATATGTACTTAGTGCCTGCTGCTCCTTCATCTGGAGTCGTTTTATTGGCAGTCTGGGCCAGTGGTCATTCATCATTGCTTTTCACTCTTAGGGATAAGGTGAGGACGCCAGCCCCGAAGCTACATCAGCTGGATTGGGAATTGAACTCGTACTGTTGGCATAATTCTGAACCACACACCAGCCATGTAGTCAAACAAGTGAACTTGCCCATAACTGACATGTGGGGCTTAAAATGTAATTTTGAGTTCTCTGGCGTCTCTCAGTTTACAGTTGACTAGATAATTCCCAACTTCAAAGTTTGAACTAGTTTTCAACATGTATGGTGAACAGCTTCTTCTTATCAACGTTCTGAGTTTGTAATTTGAACAAGAATACAGTAGACCAAGCATGAGAACTTAGGCAGGATTGAAAGCTTCACCTGGATCATTGGGATCAATAGCTTCTTGAGGTTCACTGCAGCAATATTTTCCAAATGCCTCTTCCTTTGGAATATCAGGGTACAAATACACTAGCGGTGACACGAGGATATTGGTAGCATCCATGATCTTGTAACTTATGATAATGTCAGCAAAAGACATATTGGTTAGTTGCTGTTTGGTGTATGGTTCCACAGACTGGATCTGGGTCTTTCCTGTTAGAAAATGTAAAAAATACGAATATATAACTCAAATTTCATCAACTAGAATTAGCAATGGAACATTTTAATATACTCAGACATGTTATTAATTCAACTTAAATTACACAAAGAATGGTAAAGCATGTCACAGTTCAGATGTGAGACTTTCAAACAAGAGTTATTTTTTGCTTTGGCAAGACTATCACAGAAACAAACATTCTGGGTATTGGAACCCATCTGGTTTTGATATCCAGTGCAAGTGTCAAGCGCATTATGACCAAAAGTAAACAGTTTTACTGTGCCCAGTGTATTTTACTGTTTACTTTAGAAAAGTATTTTTGGGGACACCAGTTTAAGCATTCTTATATTTGATATCAAATCAGCCAACAGAAAAATAATTATAATTCAGTGCCAATTTGTAGGTGTTTGTTTCCATACGCCCACTTGGAAGTGGATCGAAATTAATCAAGCCCCTTTCAGATCCTTAAAAATAATTGTTCAGTCTAATCAAATTGAACACAAACCAAAGTTCTGAATGTGAAACAATAGTGCACCATCAAAATTATAGTAACTCCATCTTAAAAGTTGTTGAGATGTTAGTATGTTTGATCAGATTTGTAGGTACACTAAGAATGTAACATTAAATTTGTCAAGAGATCAAATGTTAAGGAAAAGCACACAGTTAATGGCAGGACTCTGAACAGCACTGATAAACAGAAGGATCTTGGGGTTCAGGTCCATAGCTCCCTGAAAGTGAAGAGGGCGCATGGCATGCTTAACTTTATTGGTTGGGGAACTGAGTACAAGAGTCAGGATGTCATGATGCAGCTTCATAAGACTTTGGTTAGGCCTCACTTAGAGTATGGTGTTCAAGTCTGGTCGCCACATTATAGGAAGAATGTGGAAACTTTGGAGAGGGTGCAGAAGAGGTTTAGCAGGATGCTGCATGAATTAGAGGGTATGAGCTATAAGGAGAGACTAGAAAAACTCTGGTTGTTTTTTTCTTGAGTGGTGCAGGCTGAGGAGAGACTTGATAGAAGTCTATCAAATTATTAGATAGGGTTGACAGTCAGAATCTTTTCCCCAGAGTTGAAATGTCTAATACTAGGGGACATGCATTTAGGGTGAGAGGGGTAAAAGTTCAAAGGAGACATGAGGAGCAAGTTTTTTTTTTTAAAAACACAGAGTGGCTTGAGTCTGGAACGCACTGCCAGGGGTGGTGGTGGAGGCAGATATGATAAGGGCATTTAAAGGGACTTTTAGATAAGCACATTAATATGCAAGGAATGGAGAGACATGGACCAAGGGCAGACAGAAGGGATTAGTTCCATTTGGCGTCATGTCCAGCACAACATTGTGGGACGTAGAGCATAGAACTGTACAATGCAGGAACAGGTCCTATGTTCTAAATAGAAACGTTATACTTATTTTAAACTTCAAGGTAATCATTTGAAAAAAATATTTTGAAGTGTTTGATCAGATTACTGCATTTATATTTGTAAACACAATGAAGACCCACACAGTTAGTCTTTCTACATTCAAGTAAAGTGGCTGCTTTCATGCATCTAAACTAACCATACAGTGTGTATCATTGTAAGCAGTTTTGCATAATTAATTCCAAAGTGCTACAGAAGATAAAGGCACTTTTATCATACGAGGGACAAAATTTACAATTTTACAAGCTTCTGCCGGGTGCACTCTGAGTGGGATGAGTGGCATATGAAATATGACAAGTGCCCAGCCCACCATCTTTCCACCCGTCCTGAAGATCAAACACAATTCAGCAAGTGGGTGGTTGGGAAAAATCAGCAGTCAACCCACCATATGAAAAGAGAGAAAGGTCAAACGAGCTTATTAAATCTCAACTAACTGCAATATTACCCTGCTATTTCCACCATGTCTCCTCCTTTCTCTATTCCAAAGGAATCGCTCCCTCTGAAGTACCTTGCTTTACTGTGCACTCACAGGAGGCATAACACTTGCCCTTTTACTTCCTCCCTCCTCACTGTACAAGCACCGGACAATCCTTCCAGATAAAGCAGTCATTTACTTATACTCTTTAAATCTAGTCTACTGTTTTCGCTGCTTGCAAAATCTCTACACTAAGGAAATCAAACACAGACTGAAGACCACTTTGCAGAACACCTTCAGTCTGCAAGGATGATCTCAACCTTCCAGTTGCTTACCATTTCAATATACCATGTTGCTTTCATGCTCACATTTCTGTTCTCAGCCCACTTTATTCTTTCAGTGAAGCCCGAGGCAAGCCGGAGACACAGCATTTCATTGTTTGATCAAGCACTTTACCACCTTCTGGACCCAATGCAAACTCCATCATTTTGATGCCTTCTGCACCCTGAACCCCCGTGTCCTGTTTTCATGGTTGTGCTATCAGCTATTAACGCCTAATAACGCATGCTGGATCTCTCTGTTGCCTCTCAACAACTAACACTCTGACTATTGTCCTGAGACATCTTGATCTCTATAATCTCCCTCACCCACAAACCTTTCCCTGACCTTCTGTTCCATTCCACTTGTTCGTTCCCATTGTTTTCAGACAAACACTTTTCCACCTCTCTCCAACTCTGATGAGTTGAAATGCACCTTTGCTTCTCTCCCAGCAGATGCTGGCAGAACTGATAGACTTCTTCAGGGCTTTGTTTTTTTGAATAGCAGTAGATTCTGACTCACTTATCAAGAACATTCAATGTTATGATAACCTTACTCGAGTAAACATCCATGTAGAATTGGATGAAATCAGTGATGCAACAAACATCATAATCACATTCACTTTCTTTTCCTGATGACAAAAAGGCGTGAAACTCAATGTCACATTGTAAACATGAATGCAGAATATAAAACTATAGTCAGTGGATTTGACATGTATATGTAAAGCCTGGGAATAAGTGCTTTTGAATGGATACATTTTATAGAAATATTCCACACTAAGCTATGTGAACATACAGCCAGTGGGAGATTCCACACATGCCAATCAGTGCGTAGAAGCACTGGCATCCACTTTGCAAAGCCAATGCTGCACATGGACCTTGGCGGTCTGTGTAGCAGAGAGAAAAAAAAAATACAGACAGCACTGTTCTACACTACATTAGTTTTTTATCCTCACTGATCCTTACTTAATTTTCAGATTAAAACGGTTTTTGCCATTTCTGAAGCTGAAGGGAGATGTACTGGAACTTAGCTCCTTGCAATGAAACATCATTCTTAGCAACCTGTCTTTGAAGCAAATACATTCCTTCCATTTTTTAAATCCTCACTGTATTGGAAGAATTCAAAATTCATTAGCTGAAATAGATCATGCATTATATCCTTACAATTAAATGGTACTAAATATGCCATGGCAAGCCACAATTTTGAAAAACATAACTTCTCTGCTTATGGGCATCACTGGCAACACCATTATTTATCGCCCATCCCTAGATACTTGTGAACAAATGGTGCCAGGTGTTCTTGAATAGAATATTCAATTCAACTAAACCGCTTGATTGTGCAATGGATGGTGTACTCTACTTTTTAGGAATACTTTTTTTTTTGCCATTTGAATTTCAAAACAGAATATTGGCCAGTTGAAAGGATTTTTTTTGTTTGTTTTTTTAAAAAAAAAAAGACAGGTGAGAATGTCATCTGGAACAGTGAAACCACTCCCCCCAACCATGTGGATCAATTCAATGAAAGCACATGACTGCAGTCACGTGCCTGGCACAACTCTGCAGTGTTAATGGATGAATTGCTTATGTTGCAAAGTTTACATCAGAGAAAAAACCCATTCAGTTTTAACCAGAAAAGATGGATCAAAGTCTCAATTCAGACAAATCAAAGGTTCAGTTCAGAAGGGAGACAGTTATCTTTTAATTCAGAGGAACCAGTTACCATGGCCGAAGTGTTTTAGTTTTGCGGAGCTTCTAAGCCAGGACAGTTTGGATAGAAAGCTTCAGGTTGATAGAACTGAAAAGGTTCAGGCCATCAGAGTCAGAAAAGAACTGTAAAATTGTCTTAGTTTCTTGTCCTTGGACTGCTGAGAATAGTCATTCAACACATATTTAAAAGAGATAGGAGTGAAACTTCTCTGAAACTGAGTGCATGTAAACCGATAGCGTACGGAAAAAAGGTTCAAACTTTGTTTCACAGTTTGCGCCAAGGCCTTTCTAATGACCACATACAGTTTTGTTTTTTTTTGTAAGAACAACCGGAGCCTCATATGACTGTTTCAGTGACTAAATACCAAGGGGAACCAACTGTAAAAATTAAGCATATGGTTTGTTAAGTCAGGTCTCCTTCTGGGTTTTGACGTGTTTGGTATTAGCATCAGTTGGGATCATAACTCCAGAGTACGGTTAAGAGTTGCCACATTCTGAGATTGGAATCACATATAGGCAGCATTAGGCAAAACAAAGTTTATTTCTGTCTGGGCTAACAGTGAACCAATCAAGCTTTTACAACAATGTGACAACTGCTCGTTGGGCTCTTTTATTCATTCTATGTTATATTACAAAGTTAAAATAATCAAACCGTCATTGTTGAACTCATGTTTTCTGGATGACTAGTCCAATAACAGAACCACATCATAGGCAAGAGGGGTGCAAGTTATTCTTTCCAAGTTGGTTTGAATAGCCTCTTGCTGTGCAGTGTGAGCCTATGTTAGGCCATAGGTCAGCCATCATCTCAGAGGATAATAGGGCTGCTCCTTCATTGGAGACAGAAAACTCTGATGGAAAGTTTTATCCTGAGGTATGGTGACCGTCAGGTTGGACGTGAGGCTGAGAAGGTGGAACCTTCACGGCGACCTCAGCTGATGTGGGAATTGAACCCATTTTGTGGCATCATTCTGTATTGCAAAGCAGCCCTCCAGCCAACTGAGCTGACCGATCTACAACTGTATTGACTGTTGAAGCTTTACAGGAAGCTGTTGTGAAATCGGAAATGTTTGCCATACATTAGACCTTTACAAAAATAAATTAATCATTCAAATGATATTGCTAAATAAGGTTTGATTTCTCCTTTTGACATTATTTCACATCATGATATTTAACTTAAAAACAGTTACACACCATTGATATCCTTTTCCACCCACGTAAACGTGATTCCTCCTTCTTTGTTGCTCTCACTGAATCGAAGGAGGAATGTGCCTGGGGGTTTTACATTCAGTAAAGCTCTCTCTCTTTCTTTGCTTATGAAGCCCATGATATACCTATTACAAAACAAATCAGATCATGATTATGAAAATTACAAGCTTTATTAAAAATACAAAGTTTGTGCACCATAGCAAGCTTCTAAGATCTACATCAAAATTTAACACAACAGATTGCATTAATTCGTAGGATTTAACTTCTCAAACTTTAAAACATGGATTTGCAGAGGAAAATATAATGCTCTCCTCCTATAGACGAGCACATCTTTACTGAATTAGGCAACGAGAAACTGAGGCTTACTGAGGTTTTGCAATAAGAATGTGAAGGATTATAGATAAATAGAAGCATTATAGTATATTCTTACCCATCGTTCCACAGAGAAAGAATAAATTTCTTCACTAAGTCTATGATATTGTCCAGCCATACCCAGAATGAAAATGCTTTGCCAGGCATATTCTCCTAAATGAAAAAAATTGAGGTAAATTTAAGAGTATTAAAAAGTTGGCTCGTTATTTAAATTTTCACTGTGACTCAACTAAAAAAAAAGCTATCCCAAGCTTGCTCAGTGCAACAAACCCTCTAAACAGTTAGTATAAGATACAATGAAGGTATGTCAAATCCCCAGGATGTTTAATTAGAATTTTTGTATTAAATGAGTTTTATTTTAAAACCATGAACATTAAAATGTTATAATAAAGATTCTGCCCAATTATTTAACAGAACAAGTTAAATTTTAAAAAAAAAAGTATTTTTAAAGCAGAATTTTGTAACCAAAAGATGAATGACAGGAAAATAAACTTAAAACTAAAAGCAAATTTTTTGATGTTATTACAGAATTTAACAAAGATATGTGTTCACTCACTTTACAGAATTTTGCCCAAGTGATCTGGCACCCAGAATAGTTGACACCAGGACCTAAAACAAAACAAACAAAACCATTACTAAAAGAACTTTAAGGTATAAAACAAAAATAAATTTAAAAACTCAAGTACAAATTAAGTACTTCAGGCACTCCAGTAGTACATGCTGTCAACCTTTTTTTGCTTCAGTACCCCTCATTTATTGATCATAGATTTGTATACAAATCAATCATAAAATGCACTCAAGGGGGGGGGGAAAAAAGCAATTAGTTACCAATAGATAGAGTTTTTCCATTATTTGTTTCTAAATCAACATCTGTTATCAAAGATAAATGCATGATTTTGACACTTTTGAATATGTTACTTTCTAAATTACTGTACTTTGTGTTCGATGAGAAGAACGAACTAATTTATTTTCAGCATCATTTGTTAAAAAGGTAACAGGGGCTTGGACACTGGGACAATTCTTTGTATTCCTTTCAGCAGTACCACAGGATCATCAACAAGGAAACAGCGACTTGATTTTTAAAAAAAAAATCACTTTTATATCTATTTTAATAGAAATTTAAATTTACAAATTTAATAATTGTAAGGACTGAGCTCAAATATAATAGTGATCTCAATACTATGAATTGCAAGTAGATTTGGTATGTTTAACAGAAGGTAAACTGCGCAGTATGTAAAATATATACTATAATTAATTTCTCAATCGGAATAGACACAACAATCTCTGTACCATTTTTAGCAGAGGTTAAACAATTTTTAAGATTGCAAAGAACATTTTTTGAGCAATTTAGTGCTTATACATGTTATCTCCTGGTGTAAGTTCAATGACTATTTGATATTTCCATAACTCACCAAGCAACTTCTCAGCCAGTGTCCCTAGCTGCTCCATATTCAGGCCTCTTTTTGTAGTGGAAGAAAACTGCCAACTCAGAATCTCTGCTACCTGATCCCATGTCGCAACTGGTGGTTTTGTGAAAAAGTTCACATTCTATTTGAAAACAGGATGCAGTCAATATCTTAATGTCTGTGACTGTGGCTGTGCGGTATTGGTATTCACTTGAAATGTTTTAGATTTGCAAGTACTTTTACCAATAGCATCAAAGCTGTTACATCCTGTAAATTTATCACCTTCAAACTCAGTTACGTACACAATAGCTTAATTATCCTTGGATGCACCAAAATTTGACGAAATAAAAATACTTGCTCATCTCTACACAAATTAAAACAATTTAAACTCAACAGGTCTGCGCTCTTGCCAAAAGACAACTGTAATGCACATTTCCTGCATTGCTTTAACCAATGTTCATGGCATTCTATTCACCATCCCACCTCCAAAAAAGGAGCAAAATTCCTCAAACAATAAAATAAATTTTTAACAAGTACTGTTTAAGATGTAAATAAAAGGAATCAAAACAAATATATCCATCTTTTCTGGAGTATGTATCAGAAAGAATAATTTTAAAGCTATGACAAAAGGTGAACAGAGACAAAACACTGAAAATTTAATTCATGACAAATTTTCAAAGATGACCAAGTTTTTATTTCATCTTTGCAATGTCCCTGTACTATGAATGAACATTTAAAAAACTGGTTGCAGTCATATTTTCTGAACATTTTAAACTTTTAAAAGAAACTGCATCCAAAGCATGTTGAGTCTGAACAGGTTATTAAGTTGATAGTGTGCTTCAACATAGACTTTAAATATTAAACTCTGATAATCATCAACGCAAGATCTCTTCTGAAACCTAAAAGGCAGATCTAAACTGGCAGCCTTTTTTTATTTTTATTTTCATTAACTTCAACCAAAATTATGTGCACAAGCTCCTAGAGCGGGAATGAAAGCAAGACTTTTTGACTCAGAAGTAAGCCTGCCACCAGTGTCAACGCTGACCCCAAATGAATGAAACTACATCCAAGTTGTTCTAACAAATTATGCTCAATATTAGCAAAGGTGTGTATAAAGGTAGGTGCCTCCTTATACAGGGCACACAATTTGGTGATTTACATTATTCTAGTCAATATCTTACGCACACATTTCACTCAATGCTCTCTTCCAAGCTAAACCCGGAATTTTAGTTTCCCCAACAGCTGAGTTTCATACCTTTGGGTTATTGGTTAGCATATTATACCAAAGGATTGAGGCCCAAGCATTTGGCATCTGGCAGATGTTGGAGATTACCACAACTGGCAGTGAAGAGGTCTGTTAAAGAATTTACACAGTTGGTTAATAGCACATGTAAACATTAGTTCCAAACTCTGCAGATTTTAAAGAAAAATATTTCATTTTGGTTTCATCACAAGAGTACATTGGAATGTTACGTTCTCAAAAACACTTGCAAAACAAGACTAGGCATCCTGTGATCTGTCCTTCCCAATTTCCTCCTACACTACCGAGAATGATGGAAACAATGGTCAGGCAAGTAAAAGCTACCATTTTGAACAGTTAGGACTAAGTAAGTTGAGTGTTCAGCCTGCTTAACCTACCAATATCTAATTGCATAGTAGAGTGCTCTTTGTTTTTACAAAGTTAAGGTAGCAAATGCTGATAGTACAAAAGATTGGAAATACTGCATGTAAAATTATGTTATAAAAGTCCTCAAAGTATAAACATTCCACACAGAATTTAGACAACTAGCAAACAAAAATACTTACTTTATAACATGTGTGAACTCATTAATGGATATGCAAACATTAGGAAATTTGGAATTTATTAACAGAAGTAACTAATACAAAAGCTGCAATTATATTTCATCTACCTCCAAATCAATTTTAAGTCCTTGATGATAAACTTCTGTCTCAAAGGTTATTAGATGCAGCTCTTCAGTCACAATGAGGGAAGCCTGAAGGAAAAAAATGGAAACAAATTACCAAAAAGAAAATACAAGGGGTAACATTAATTTACTGTCCAAAAATCAAACAGTGTTTTACGACTTGGACAGCTTTTTTTTCCGCTGTGCAAAACAATGTTGTTTTTGGAACCAGTAAGATCATTTCTGAGGCTGAACGGCACCAAGAGTCTTTGAGTTAAGGAAAGGCTGCCTGATGACAGCCCTGGGATTGGTCAAGCGACGGTTTCCTCCAAATTTATAAGCGCAGGTAGCCAGTGACATTCAGAGGTTACAAACTGAACATACCTTTCTCTCCATGCTCATTCCACGCATGGATGAGAAGTCAGGAATATTAGGACAGCTTTAAATATAAATCTAACAATACCAGACCTAGGTCCACAGAAAACTATCACAGTGAAAAAAAAAATCACTTTAGAGGTAGCAGTGAGTTATCTTTACTCAAATCAAAACAAATGGAGAGGCACTTTAACCACTCATGATGTCATGTCAAAATGCCTGTGTTTATCATGAACAAGTGTTTGCATGTTTGGGATTTTAAAAGGGGTATAGTATTGCATGCAATTCATACATTTCTTTTCTTGATTATTAAAGTTGTGCGTTACAATAAATAGATTTATTTTCTGTTACTGAAGAAACCGGATATAAATTGCTTTTTTCTTCAATAGCAGGCAGTCAGGCAAATTGGTAAGCTTTGGTAGCCTAATTGGAGGTTCTAAATGTTTGTGATGGCTTGTGAAACAGTGGGGTACAATTATAGATGCACCTTTCACAGCTGAGTCATGACAGTGTTTTCATTCATTAATAGGGCTTCGCAGGCTGGACCAACAATTATTGCTCATCCTTAATTGCTTGAGAATGAAATGGTGAGTTGCTTTCTTGAACTGCTGTGGTTCATTTGCTGTTAGGGAGGAAGACCTCCTGTCACCATACTTTTCCTTTCTAACTGCACCCCATCAGAGAAACTGTGAAATGAAAATTGTTTGCTTTTTGCAAAGTCCATAAACTTAGGGACAGATGCAAATCTTAGCAAGAGAACCCAAGATACCGAGGTTTATAAGCCACAAATTGTAAGAAGGAAATACTAACACTGCAATACAAACGTTAACTGTATTGAACAGAACTACATAATGCGGAGTGCAAACATTTAGTTGCAAGCAATTTTACATTTTAAATTTGTACTCACATCACTACTAGCTCTGCCTCCATTTCCACATCTTTGTTCTCGGAGGGTCTGGAGGGAGAAAGATCATATTAATAAATAAATATAACCATTGCCTGGAGTGTCTGATCAGAAACAAAAAAAGTTTTCAGACATTAAGGGTTCTATTCCAAGTGATACACCTCACCATATCAAATACATTTAATTGTGCCAAATTAAAGACATCGTGCTAACAAAGTGACTTCAAGAATCCTTAAGTTCATCATGAAATACAAGTGTGCTTCACTGGAATTGCTAGGACTTTGTTCACATAACGTCAGCAATTCACTACCCCTTGTAACTTGATGTTCCTTTAATTTCACTATTGTTGAATCAGCTATGGGTGTTCTTTGTTTCAAAATGTAATGCATGTGGCAAACATTTATGCTAAAAAATGGAATATACAAACTTTTACATCAGTGGAAAACTGCTAGGGCACATCAATAATAGCACTCAAATTAGAAGTCACATGACATCAGGTTATAATCCAGCAGGTTTATTTGAAATCACAAAGTTTTGGAGCGCTGCTCCTTAATCAGGTGAAGTCCTGCGATTTCAAATAAGCCTGTTGCACTATAACCTGGTGTCGTGTGACTTCTGACTTTGTCCACCCCAGTCCAACACTGGCACCTCCACATCATGGCTCTCAAATTAGTTGAGTGTAAAAGATATGCACAATGTACACAGTGCAGAAATTAATCTGAATGATAGGGGATCTTGTTGGGGAAGATCTACCATATTAAGTGCCAGTTGGGCACTTCTCTGGTCTGCAGCTCGCTTTACCCGGGATTTATGACCTCTAGTATTGGAATTCCCATCCCTTAAGAGAGCAGGCAGCTCTTCGTAATCATTGCATGCTGCAAGTCAGCAGTGATGGCTGCTGCCAGTGATAATACTGCTTCAAGTCCTAGAATCACTAAAGGGATTCAAGCTGACAGGTAAGGGCAGAATAGGGGTGATGAAGAGAGGCGTGCCAATTGAACTTGGGAGGATATAGAAAGTAGGGTGGCAGAGGGGTGCACAGGGGCGATCTTTCCCCTCCGAGGTCTATAATTAGTGACCAGGCAGGAGGGCTACCCATAATCAGGTTGAGGCCAGAAGATGGTGTAGTCCCTCCCAGCATCTCTTTTGATCTGAATGAAGACAGCCCCCACCCCACTGCCAACAAACACTAATTAAATTCTGCCCTCAGACACTTTGCTAGCAATACAAATTAGGTTTTTAAATATCTACTGAGCAGACGTCACAGAGCATATTATAGTATTATCTGCAAAGCAAACATCTGAATGTGTATTGTATGACCAACTTATGATCTTTGCGTAAGAGTAGTTTCCCAACAATACTCACCAAATGTTTAAATTCTGCTGACAGGCTTCCATTATTTGATTCTTCCATATTCATGACTTTTGTATTGGTTCCCAATATGTTGAATTTCCGTGACCTAAGATACGATAAAGCTATAAAATGACATTCAAACAGGTACTCGGAAAGAGAGAGAGAGAAAAGTGAGAGAGAAAAAGAAAGAAAGAAAGGAGAGAGCGAGAGCGTTCTAATACAAATTCTTTACACTCAACTGTCTTAATCATCAGTGAAACCAAGAGTCCCGTATACATGCCGTGAAGCATTGAAAACTAGCTATGGTTGCACTACAATCAAAAGGATAGAGAGACAATATAGTAGCCGAGCTAAACGTTGTACTTATTCTGCCTGTACAGTAATTCTGCAATGCAGAAGTTAGAAAATATTACTCAGACTTTTACACACAAAAAAAGGAATGTAAATACAAGTATTCCCTTTAAACATGTAAAACTCATTCAATGCTAAAACCTAACTGCCATTTTAAATGCGATGCATCTGTCATGAACCATTCTAGCAACACAAGTGCAATCCTTAGAGATATTGCGTTATTGAGCCAGAAGAGATGGTAAATGTCATTACATGAATACCTAACATACTGCAAGAATTTTATTCTTTTAAATTGAAGTATTAAACACTAAAATTACTGTTTTTGTTCTAGACCAATGTATTATGAAATCAGCGAGTGATGCCTCAGAAGAGAGTTAATAGTTTCTATAGCCTCAAGTGCATTTAGGTTGCACAGACTGAAGCAGCAGCCAAACAAATTATGGGTCCAAATTATGACTGAAAGACAAAGCACATTTTATTATTTGACTCCAATCTGAGATCCAAAGAACCTTCTGAAGTAATAGAGCAGTTCAGGACAATTAGAGATGGGCAATAAATACAACTCTGCCATGATCATTCACATGTTGGAGAAAAAGAGTGGATAAACGAACAGTATAAAAATTGGACAAAGCACCACCTTTGCTCAGGTGCACTTTTGTCCAGGATACCTATACGCACTTTGACCGGACTGGAGTGATTGTTCTTCGTTCAATAGCCTCTTACCAGGTATAACACTGCTCATTATTCACTTTAGCTTGGCTACATACTGCAGAAGAACCCAACTACCTTATTCACGTACAGATATTCTACCCAATAGTCTTACAAATATTGAACCGTTTCAAATATTTGTACTAGTTGTTTCCCCAATTACATTTGGCTTGCAATTTTAGTTTGACTAACGGTATCTATTACTATGGTATTGCCTATCCACTTGGAGACATAACATCATGCTGGGCAATCCATGGAAACTTCCACTGTCAAGTATTTCAACAGAATGGCACTGCTAGTCCCATTGCACTTTACTCTTGATCATACCACAAGAAGTTGAAATTGGACTACGGAAATCGTACAGTGAATACAAACAAAAAGGCCCAAAATAATATTTAACTTACAATCAAGCAAGGATAAAGAGGAAAAAAAGGCTCACCCTCTCAGCGCAGAACCATCTCCAGAATCCCTGGAAAAAAATTGAAAAAAAAACTAAGTCTATCTTCTGCTGAGTTCATGGTAGCGTGAACTCACAGGTAAGATACAAAGTAATTCAGGTTAATATTTTGGAAACCTAAATTACTGCTTGTTTGCAGTTCTGTTACATGTTCTACACCTGTTGATTGTGTTTTTTTAAACTGGAGACATTGAAGCAAATAGGAAATACCTACCACAATAGCACTACTGCTTTAAGTTGGAAATAGCTCAAGAATCTGCTGGTAATACATTGAAAAGAAAAACTAAATCACAGCTTCCAAAACAGTTGTGTGCAATATTTGCAAATGGTATCAGCAGAATAAATGTATCAAGTGACTGGGTCATGCATCAGACTGTGAAGCTCACCTGGATTTGATGTGTTTTGTGTCCACAGTTTCTGCTTGAAGTATAACCGTGCAGCACAGGAACTGTACTATTGCATAACATTTTTGAGCAGCACAAAATGCTCATTAAAAAGGAGAGTGAATATGTTTTGACGGAACTCAAGCTTCAAAATTCAGTTGGAATGCTGAGTTGAGATATAGGAAAAGTAGGCCATTCAGCCCTTTCAGCATGCTCTACCATTCAATTAGATCATGGTTAATTCTGTATTTTGACTCTTTACCCAACTTGCTCCAAATCCTGACATATCCATCTTGAAAAGATCACTGGACTCAGTACCCAGAGCCTTATGGAGGAATGTTTCAGATTTCTACCATCATCATTTGTGTGAAAAATTGAGACTGAATGTCATTCCAAATTGGTTAAGCTCGTATTTTCAAATCATTTCCCTCTTGTTTTGGATTCTGAAGAAAATGGTTACCCTGCATCTACCCTATCAAAACCCTTCAACATTTTAATCATACCAATTAGATCACCCCTCAACAATTTAAACAGGGCTATACAAGCCAGGTTATCCTGATAAGTTAATCCTTTAAATCTTTTCACCTGTACTGTACTCTCATCCAAGATTAATGCATCCTTCCTTAGTGCAATAATCCAGATGGGCTCCAACCAAGGCACCAGGAAATATAGCTTACTCACCATTGTATTCCAACTCTCTTGAGACAAAAGCAAAAATTTTACTTGCCTTGTTAGAGCCAATACCTTACAAATGTCCCAGGAGACAAATGAACTATCTAGTTTACTTTGCTTGAACAATATCATCTCTTCCAATTTAAAGGTGACAATAGTCATTTGATGTGGTCCTTGTGGAGGGGATACAATCCCCAGTCTCAGCACATCCTATATTAATAAGCTGACCTCTCTTTATTGGGAAAGACCAACTCCTTCACATGTAGGGGCAAAACAGACTGTATTATTTGTCCTAATAAGTTCAATGTCCCAAGGCATCCTGATGGAGAGATGGTGTAGAGAAGTTTTATGATGATGTTACCGGGACAGGCTGGATAGGTTAGGACTTTTGTTGACTGGAGAGGTAGTGGTCGAGGGGTGGCCTTATAGAGGTTTATAAGATCATAGGGGCAAAATTAAAGGTGAATAACAAAGGGAATTCCATAGGGCAGGGGAATTCAAAACCAGAGGACATGGACATATTTTTAATGTGAAAGGAGAAAGATTTAAAAACAGACCTGAGGGGCAATTTTTTCACATGGTGGGTGGCTCAGATGTGAAATGAGCTGCCAGAGGAAGAGGTAGATGCAGACATGGTTACAACATTTGAAAAAGACATTTGGACAAGTACATTAATAGAGAAAGGATCAGAGAGATGTGTCCTAACGGCAGGCAAACGGGACTAGTTTAGGTTGGAAAAATTGGTCGGCATGGATGAGTTGGACTGAAGGGTCTATTTCTATGCTGTATGACTCGATGACTGTATGTATAAAACAGGACCAACGCATCAGGTTCACTGTTATACCTGCCACTATATGACAGACTTGGGGCACCACTTAATGCACAATTGCTTTTATCAATACAATTAATAATATCCAATACTAACACAAAAAGTCTATTAAAAACCAGTGCATTAAACAAATACAACCACTGACACAAGTTATGAGTATCGGGAAGGATTCAAGATGTATGGTGGAGGTGGTTAATTGTTGGAGGAGGCAATAATATGCTGGCAAAAATACTAACACACAAATACACTTAGTAGTGTATTAGTTCCTTTTCACTCACTTATCAATGGCAACCTTGATTTTAAGCTGGTAATTCAACTCTGGAAATTTAACGAGCAACCTGTGAACAGAAAGTAGGTGCTAGATTTAATAAG